TTGTGTGTTTCTGATTGTGTGTCTCTGATTGTGTGTCTCTGATTGTGTGTCTCTGATGTGTTTCTGATTGTGTGTTTCTGATTGTGTGATTCTGATTGTGTGTTTCTGATTGTGTTTCTCTAATGTGTCTCTGATTGTGTGTTTCTGATTGTGTTTCTGATTGTGTGTCTTTGATTGTGTTTCTGATTGTGTGTCTCTGATTGTGTTTCTGATTGTGTGTTTCTGATTGTGTGTCTCTGATTGTGTTTCTCTGATTGTGTGTTTCTGATTGTGTGTTTCTGATTGTGTGTTTCTGATTGTGTTTCTGATTGTGTGTCTCTGATTGTGTTTCTGATTGTGTGTCTCTGATTGTGTGTCTCTGATTGTGTTTCTGATTGTGTGTCTCTGATTGTGTGTCTCTGATTGTGTGTTTCTGATTGTGTGTCTCTGTGTTTCTGATTGTGTGTCTCTGATTGTGTGTTTCTGATTGTGTGTCTCTAATTGTGTGTTTCTGATTGTGTGTCTCTGATTGTGTGTCTCTGATTGTGTGTCTCTGATGTGTTTCTGATTGTGTGTCTCTGATGTGTTTCTGATTGTGTGTTTCTGATTGTGTGATTCTGATTGTGTGATTCTGATTGTGTGTCTCTGATTGTGTGTCTCTGATTGTGTGTCTCTGATGTGTTTCTGATTGTGTGTCTCTGATGTGTTTCTGATTGTGTGATTCTGATTGTGTGATTCTGATTGTGTGATTCTGATTGTGTGTCTCTGATTGTGTGTCTCTGATTGTGTGTCTCTGATGTGTTTCTGATTGTGTGTCTCTGATGTGTTTCTGATTGTGTGTTTCTGATTGTGTGATTCTGATTGTGTGTTTCTGATTGTGTTTCTCTAATGTGTCTCTGATTGTGTGTTTCTGATTGTGTGTCTTTGATTGTGTTTCTGATTGTGTGTCTCTGATTGTGTTTCTGATTGTGTGTTTCTGATTGTGTGTCTCTGATTGTGTTTCTCTGATTGTGTGTTTCTGATTGTGTGTTTCTGATTGTGTCTCTTATGTGTCTCTGATTGTGTGTCTCTGATTGTGTGTCTCTGATTGTGTGTTTCTGATTGTGTTTCTGATTGTGTGTCTCTGATTGTGTGTTTCTGATTGTGTTTCTGATTGTGTGTCTGATTGTGTGTTTCTGATTGTGTGTCTCTGATTGTGATTGTGTGTTTCTGATTGTGTTTCTGATTGTGTGTCTCTGATTGTGTTTCTGATTGTGTGTCTCTGATTGTGTGTTTCTGATTGTGTGTCTCTGATTGTGTGTTTCTGATTGTGTGTTTCTGATTGTGTGTCTCTGATTGTGTGTTTCTGATTGTGTGTCTTTGATTGTGTGTCTCTGATGTGTTTCTGATTGTGTGTTTCTGATTGTGGGATTCTGATTGTGTGTCTCTGATTGTGTGTTTCTGATTGTGTGTCTCTGATTGTGTGTTTCTGATTGTGTGTCTCTGATTGTGTGTCTCTGATTGTGTGTCTCTGATTGTGTGTCTCTGATGTGTTTCTGATTGTGTGTCTCTGATGTGTTTCTGATTGTGTGTTTCTGATTGTGTGATTCTGATTGTGTGATTCTGATTGTGTGTCTCTGATTGTGTGTCTCTGATTGTGTGTCTCTGATGTGTTTCTGATTGTGTGTTTCTGATTGTGTGTCTCTGATTGTGTGTCTCTGATGTGTTTCTGATTGTGTGTTTCTGATTGTGTGATTCTGATTGTGTGATTCTGATTGTGTGTTTCTGATTGTGTTTCTCTAATGTGTCTCTGATTGTGTGTTTCTGATTGTGTTTCTGATTGTGTGTCTTTGATTGTGTTTCTGATTGTGTGTCTCTGATTGTGTCTCTGATTGTGTTTCTGATTGTGTGTTTCTGATTGTGTGTTTCTGATTGTGTGTCTCTGATTGTGTTTCTGATTGTGTGTTTCTGATTGTGTGTCTCTGATTGTGTTTCCGATTGTGTGTCTCTGATTGTGTGTTTCTGATTGTGTGTTTCTGATTGTGTGTCTCTGATTGTGTTTCTGATTGTGTGTCTCTGATTGTGTGTCTCTGATTGTGTCTCTGATTGTGTGTCTCTGATTGTGTTTCTGATTGTGTGTTTCTGATTGTGTGTCTCTGATTGTGTGTTTCTGATTGTGTGTTTCTGATTGTGTCTCTTATGTGTCTCTGATTGTGTGTCTCTGATTGTGTGTCTCTGATTGTGTGTTTCTGATTGTGTTTCTGATTGTGTGTCTCTGATTGTGTGTTTCTGATTGTGTGTCTTTGATTGTGTGTCTCTGATGTGTTTCTGATTGTGTGTTTCTGATTGTGGGATTCTGATTGTGTGTCTCTGATTGTGTGTTTCTGATTGTGTGTCTCTGATTGTGTGTTTCTGATTGTGTGTCTCTGATTGTGTGTCTCTGATGTGTTTCTGATTGTGTGTCTCTGATGTGTTTCTGATTGTGTGTTTCTGATTGTGTGATTCTGATTGTGTGATTCTGATTGTGTGTCTCTGATTGTGTGTCTCTGATTGTGTGTCTCTGATGTGTTTCTGATTGTGTGTCTCTGATGTGTTTCTGATTGTGTGTTTCTGATTGTGTGATTCTGATTGTGTGATTCTGATTGTGTGTCTCTGATTGTGTGTTTCTGATTGTGTGTCTCTGATTGTGTGTTTCTGATTGTGTGTCTCTGATTGTGTGTCTCTGATGTGTTTCTGATTGTGTGTTTCTGATTGTGTGATTCTGATTGTGTGATTCTGATTGTGTGTTTCTGATTGTGTTTCTCTAATGTGTCTCTGATTGTGTGTTTCTGATTGTGTTTCTGATTGTGTGTCTTTGATTGTGTTTCTGATTGTGTGTCTCTGATTGTGTCTCTGATTGTGTGTCTCTGATTGTGTGTTTCTGATTGTGTGTTTCTGATTGTGTGTCTCTGATTGTGTTTCTGATTGTGTGTTTCTGATTGTGTGTCTCTGATTGTGTTTCCGATTGTGTGTCTCTGATTGTGTGTTTCTGATTGTGTGTCTCTGATTGTGTGTCTCTGATTGTGTCTCTGATTGTGTGTCTCTGATTGTGTTTCTGATTGTGTGTTTCTGATTGTGTGTCTCTGATTGTGTTTCTGATTGTGTGTCTCTGATTGTGTGTTTCTGATTGTGTGTTTCTGATTGTGTCTCTTATTATGTGTCTCTGATTGTGTGTCTCTGATTGTGTGTCTCTGATTGTGTGTTTCTGATTGTGTTTCTGATTGTGTGTCTCTGATTGTGTGTTTCTGATTGTGTTTCTGATTGTGTGTCTGATTGTGTGTTTCTGATTGTGTGTCTCTGATTGTGATTGTGTGTTTCTGATTGTGTTTCTGATTGTGTGTCTCTGATTGTGTTTCTGATTGTGTGTCTCTGATTGTGTGTTTCTGATTGTGTGTTTCTGATTGTGTGTCTCTGATTGTGTGTTTCTGATTGTGTGTTTCTGATTGTGTGTCTCTGATTGTGTGTTTCTGATTGTGTGTTTCTGATTGTGTGTCTCTGATTGTGTGTTTCTGATTGTGTGTTTCTGATTGTGTGTCTCTGATTGTGTGTCTTTGATTGTGTGTCTCTGATGTGTTTCTGATTGTGTGTTTCTGATTGTGGGATTCTGATTGTGTGTCTCTGATTGTGTGTCTCTGATGTGTTTCTGATTGTGTGTCTCTTGATTGTGTTTCTGATTGTGTGTTTCTGATTGTGGGATTCTGATTGTGTGTTTCTGATTGTGTTTCTGATTGTGTGTTTCTGATTGTGTTTCTGATTGTGTGTCTCTGATTGTGTTTCTGATTGTGTGTCTCTGATTGTGTGTTTCTGATTGTGTGTTTCTGATTGTGGGATTCTGATTGTGTGTCTCTGATGTGTTTCTGATTGTGTGTTTCTGATTGTGTGTCTCTGATTGTGTTTCTGATTGTGTGTCTCTGATTGTGTGTTTCTGATTGTGTGTCTCTGATTGTGTGTTTCTGATTGTGTGTTTCTGATTGTGTGTCTTTGATTGTGTGTCTCTGATATGTTTCTGATTGTGTGTTTCTGATTGTGTGTCTCTGATTGTGTGTCTCTGATGTGTTTCTGATTGTGTGTTTCTGATTGTGTTTCTGATTGTGTTTCTCTGATTGTGTGTTTCTGATTGTGTGTTTCTGATTGTGTGTCTCTGATTGTGTGTTTCTGATTGTGTGTTTCTGATTGTGTGTCTCTGATTGTGTGTTTCTGATTGTGTGTTTCTGATTGTGTGTCTCTGATTGTGTGTTTCTGATTGTGTGTCTCTGATTGTGTATCAGATGGAGGACGCCACGCAGGACCTGAGCGTCTCTCAGCTGTCTCTCAGTCATGGTGCAGATTACATGGAGGCGGTGCCCTGAACTCCCAGCATGCACCTGTACAGTTTGACGATGAAATAAATGAATGTGTTACGCAAGATGGTGAACGTGTCTTTGTTTTAGAGACGAAGGATCTTCAGACCACCAGATATTCAAACGTTTATTTCTGACCTTTCTTCCATAAACTATTCAGTTCAAGTATTCTGATTCAATCTTTAATATCAGCGACTCATCGGTGAGAAGAGATGAGAGAGAAACCCAAAGGACAACATGGGACAGTTCTAATAGAAAGAATACGACTGGTGGCGTGAAAGCAATAACATTACATTACATTACATTACATTTCATTTAGCTGACGCTTTTATCCAAAGCGACTTACATTACAGGGACATCCTCCCTGGAGTAACTGAGGGCTAAGTGCCTTACTCAAGGGCCCACCTCACTATCCATTAGACCACCACTAGCAATAACACAACACGTCTGATCACAGGGATGGGTCACGTGATGTTCCCAGTAATGCCACCATGAAGGTAGATGTTTGGAAAGATAAAGAACTGTATAAGTTAATAAATATTATTCTGAAGCCACGAGACGTTCCTCTGATGCTCTGGGTTTATACGTGTGCAGATTCTATATGAATAAATAAATAACATTTGTGTCGTGTTGTGTTGTGCCAGACCTGAAGCTCCGCCTGACATATCTGTCATCAATCAGAGGTGCTGCAGACAAGTCTCTTCCTCTCTCTCACACACACACACACACACACACACACACACACACACACACACAGTATTTCCTCCTCTCAGTGTGCTTGATCATTGGAACGAGCAGCAGCTGAACCCGTGAGTTACGCTTTTATTTAATTATTAACATTTTATATATTTGTTCCTTGTGATGTCGTGAAGGTTAATCATTATTTGCTTTAGGACTAAATGTGAAGGAGCCACGTCAGTGCTGCGATGTTAAAGTCATATATGATATAATATGATATCCAACAGTCAGTCTGATCTAAGAGCTGAATGCAAAGTCATTCCCTGCTTTAACGTCTGCTTCTGTCTCTTTGTTCACGAGGCAGTTTAAGGTGCTTTTTATTTTGTAAATCATTTGTTTGTGAAGTTTCTAAAGATTTCAAACTAAAACACGAAACAGGATCTGCTGCAAATAAACATAAAGAGGAACAACTAAACATGATCATAGTCTCTTCTTTAAACATTGTATTTCTCGTCTGTCACACTTTGTTTTGATATCATTGAAATAGTTGCTTTGAAGGAAACCGTGTGGAAGCTTTCTCTGACTCATCAGGCTGTCAGCTACGAGCACTTACCGTAACTAATCACAATATGAATACTGTATTGTAAAGAAACAATGAGACATCAGACCGTGGGAATGAAAACGTATGATCGTCACAAAAAGATAGAACCGAGAAACTCGTGCCACATGAGAGGTTCTCGGAAATGTGTTTCTGATTCGGAGTGAACGTTGCGTAGGAGGGCCAGAGCTAGCTGTTAGCATTTAGCTCTCACCCAGCAATGTTCTTTGCAGAAGCTAATTAAACCTGCATTCCCTCTGACATCCAGGAGGGGGCGTCTCCTCAGATTGTATAGAAGTCTATGGTTGCAGTCGAATAGTCCATTTAGCAGGAACCTTCCTAACGGAGTGAAATGACCCGGAGGTCCCTCAGTGGCAGCCATGATAAGAGCTGGTTCTCTAGATGAAAGGAAAGGAGGTTTCAAGCTTCCTTTATAACCTCCTTTAGCTTAGGAACCACTGGACCTCCCTAACCTAAAGGAGAGGAGAACATGCTGCCCCACAATGCCTTGCGGCCGCAGCATTTGCCGTCACACAACAGTCGGCCGTTCACGGAAACAACCGATTATGACGGAGAAATGATATCATGAAAGTTACGGTGCTTATTAAGCTTTTTAAAACGGTAACTTGCCAAAGTTCATAAAGCATAACAGCATCAGAGCACGGTGCAGAGTCTCTAGATGAGTTTACAGTAGTCCCTCGTTCTTATTAAACATCCATGTTGTAGTCCGCTGTATAGAAACTGTAGTTTCCATAGTTTCCCCACAGCAGCAGACGCACATTCATGACGTCCGCTGGCGCATCATAAACACGTCGGATAGTGGAAGTGCAGTCGATTCTCTAAAGTACCGCAGTCTCTTCTCCTAAGTCCTTTTGAATTCTCCTATCCACTATCCCTTAACCCCGTGACCTTTCACTCAGAGGTCAGGGGATAGACGATAGGGTTAGAACTTACTTCTCTCTCTCTTTATACCTCTGTGAACATTTTCCTGATGAGTTTCTGATCTCGGTCTCTAGCTTCCAGTCTTCTCCAACACAGCATGAAGTTCATTTAGTAAATGATGATCCCTTTTAGAGTGAAATAGACACAAAGCAGCGTATGCTTCAGGGCGGAGCTACCTGTGATTGACAGGTCGCTAGCGCAATGTTGTTTGTGTTTTTATTTTAAAACTTTAACCCTGTGACAGTTTGTGTTTTCACTTTGAGATAATGCTACCCTTCAGGGCTCTGGACCCGTAACCCATAGCCATCCTCTCTCAGGTCGCACACCTCACAGTCTCTGCTCCAGACCACAGTTTGTTGCATTGGTTCATTTCTCAGAAGGTTCGGTTTGCGTTCACACGGATTAAACTCAAACGGACTATAAACTGTAAACACAAGTCATGTCCAATCCCGGCAATTTCTACCGTAGCTTTGGAGCATCGGCAGGTTGTTCTCATGCTGCTGGTCATCTGGAGATCATATCAATGGACTGCATATGATTATACAATCAGACAACATGCGTTAAGAAACATTATAACACCCATAATGAGAGACGTCCTGCAGTCAGGAGCAGGTTTCACCGACGGCAGGTGGCTCTGACTTTTATGTAAAGTTGACGGAGCGTTTAAACTTTACACGATTCTATTCAACTCTTCATTCAGCTTCACTCGTTCACTAAAGACTTTGAAGACATCCGGGTTCTTGTGACTCGTAAATACTACGTTTCCTATGTTTTGGTGCGGACTGCGTTCACACCAGAGATGATCCGCTCCAGAGTTCACTAGCAAGCGCTCTGAGACCACCTCTTTCAGGTTGTTCACTTCAGAGGTCTGAGACCACCTCTTTCAGGTTGTTCACTTCAGAGGTCTGAGACCACCTCTTTCAGGTTGTTTAGTTTACTTCAGAGGTCTGAGACCACCTCTTTCAGGTTGTTTAGTTTACTTCAGAGGTCTGAGACCACCTCTTTCAGGTTGTTCACTTCAGAGGTCTGAGACCACCTCTTTCAGGTTGTTCACTTCAGAGGTCTGAGACCACCTCTTTCAGGTTGTTTACTTCAGAGGTCTGAGACCTCCTCTTTCAGGTTGTTTAGTTTACTTCAGAGGTCTGAGACCACCTCTTTCAGGTTGTTTAGTTTACTTCAGAGGTCTGAGACCTCCTCTTTCAGGTTGTTTAGTTTACTTCAGAGGTCTGAGACCACCTCTTTCAGGTTGTTTAGTTTACTTCAGAGGTCTGAGACCACCTCTTTCAGGTTGTTTAGTTTACTTCAGAGGTCTGAGACCTCCTCTTTCAGGTTGTTTAGTTCACTTCAGAGGTCTGAGACCACCTCTTTCAGGTTGTTTAGTTTACTTCAGAGGTCTGAGACCTCCTCTTTCAGGTTGTTTAGTTCACTTCAGAGGTCTGAGACCACCTCTTTCAGGTTGTTTAGTTCACTTCAGAGGTCAGAGACCACCTCTTTCAGGTTGTTTAGTTCACTTCAGAGGTCAGAGACCACCTCTTTCAGGTTGTTTAGTTCACTTCAGAGGTCTGAGACCACCTCTTTCAGGTTGTTTAGTTTACTTCAGAGGTCTGAGACCATCTCTTTCAGGTTGTTTAGTTCACTTCAGAGGTCTGAGACCACCTCTTTCAGGTTGTTTAGTTTACTTCAGAGGTCTGAGACCACCTCTTTCAGGTTGTTTAGTTTACTTCAGAGATCTGAGACCACCTCTTTCAGGTTGTTTAGTTCACTTCAGAGGTCTGAGACCACCTCTTTCAGGTTGTTTAGTTCACTTCAGAGGTCTGAGACCACCTCTTTCAGGTTGTTTAGTTCACTTCAGAGGTCTGAGACCACCTCTTTCAGGTTGTTTAGTTCACTTCAGAGGTCAGAGACCACCTCTTTCAGGTTGTTTAGTTCACTTCAGAGGTCTGAGACTGCGTTCACACCGACCCAAACCAAACGCACCAGTGTTCGATTCAAAGGGACTAAACACTGCTGGTGTGAATGTGACCTTGCACTCTTCAAAAGGTTTGCATCGTGTTAGTATCTACAGAGGAAACGTACAGGGCTGCAGAATAAATATAAATGTAGGAAGTGGATTTAAAGGAAGTCGTTAAACACACACAAAGTGTACGTTTATCGGCACAGAATTAAAATAAAGTCTGCGTCTCCAACATCAAACTGAAGTCTGTTTGACCTTTGAAATACGAGAAGTCGGAGAGGACGACCTGCAGAGAGCAGAAGTGCAGAGCGGGAACTGTGAGGCGTTTGAGGAACAGCCAGCTGTCAGTAAACATCAGCGTTTCTCTGCGCTCACAGGAGTCCGAGCAGCTGATAGAAAACATTCTGCCTCTGAACAAACTGAAGGAAGGTTGTTTACTTCCAGAACACAGTGACATCACTACGGAACACGCACGCTGCTATTGGCTAGCGCTCCAACACATTAAGGGGCGGGACATCTCTAAGCTGGTTGACCAATCACAGCAGAGCCGGCCAGCTAACCAATCAGAGCAGCTCTGGTTTCAGACAGAGGGTGAGCAGAGGAGCTGCAGCTCAGGCAGTGAGAGGAGAGGAAAGAGCTTTCTGAACAGATGTCCTCTTTGAGTCAAAGTCCCTTTAACATTTCATTACATTTAAATACAATGTAATGAATGTAAGTGAAATCAGTTCGCAGTGGATTCGTCAGTCTCTGATTAATAAACTCAAAACACTTTCCTGTGAACTACAGAGATATTAACATTTCAATCATTCACATGGTAATAAAATGAAAAAGTGACGTTCGATGGAAAGTCGAGAATAAGATCTTTAAAAGTAATTTGTTTCTGGGAATAGGCTTGTAAAAAAAACCTTCATTATTTATATTTGTGTAATATATCTACCCTCTCTCTTTTAGATATTTAAATAATAGTAGTAAATGTTTAGATTAGAGTATTATCTGCACATTTCTCTCTCTGCTCTTACAAGAGTTGAATGACTTCATGCTATCATTTAAATTAAATCATTATAATATATGTTTGAACATTGATCTAAATCCTCAGACTTTTGGGTTTAAAAACCTTTATTTATTTATTTCAGGGACTTTTTAAAATAACTTTGTTAGCTGCACATTTATCTCTTTGACTTATTTTCAGCTCAAAGACGTTCTCGTCTGCAGGTTGTTTTTATTCCTGTGGCGCTGTGTGGAGCCTCTGATCTGGGTCACTGACCTGGTTTCTCTGCAGACTTCCTGTCTCACCTGAGAACAGACGTCCTGCAGCGACCACAGCGCTCTCACTCAGCTCTGTGCCACTTACATATCATTTAGACGTCTGATGCACGTCTTCCCCCTCTGTGACCTACGGAGGCTGATGTTCAGGTGTATATCAGTATGTAGTGTCTCTACTTTAAAGAGTCCTCTCCTGCTGATGTTCAGGTGTATATCAGTATGTAGTGTCTCTACTTTAAAGAGTCCTCTCCTGCTGATGTTCAGGTGTATATCAGTATGTAGTGTCTCTACTTTAAAGAGTCCTCTCCTGCTGATGTTCAGGTGTATATCAGTATGTAGTGTCTCTACTTTAAAGAGTTCTCTCCTGCTGATGT